TCTGTAAATTCTTTGCCCAGTTCTGCATCCTGTCAAAGTTCCGTTGCAACCTACACCAGCTGTCCACATTATCCGCAACTCCACCAACCTTTGTGTCATCAGCAAACTTACTAACCCCCCTTCCACTTCCTCATCCAAGTCATTTATAAAGATCACAAAGAGCAGAGGTCCCAGGACAGGTCCCTGCAGAACACTACTGGTCGCCGAGATCCAGGCTAAACACTTTCCATCTACTACCACCCTCTGTCTTCTATTGGACAGCCAATTCTGTATCCGGACAGCCAAATTTCCCTGAATCCCATGCCTCCTTACTTTCTGAATGAGCCTACCATAGGGAACCTTATCAAATACCTTGCTAAAATCCATACACACCACATCCACTGCTCTTCCTTCATCAATGTGTTTTGTCACATCCTTAAAAAATTCAATAATGATTGTGAGGCATAACCTGCCCCTCACAAAGCCATGACAACAAGGTGCAGAGCTGGATGAACACAGCAGGCCAAGCAGCATCATAGGAGCAGAAAGGCTGACGTTTCGGGCCTAGACCCTTCATCAGAAAAGGGGGAGGGGAAGGGAGTTCTGAAATAAATAGGGAGAGAGTGGGAGGCGGATAGAAGATGGATAGAGGAGAGGATAGGTGGAGAGGAAACAAACAGGTCGAAGAGGCGGGGATGGAGGCAGTAAAGGTGAGTGTAGGTGGGGAGTTGGGGAGGGGATAGGTCAGTCCAGGGAGGACGGACAGGTCAAGGGGGCGGGATGACGTTAGTAGGTAGGAGATGGGGGTGTGGCTTGAGGTGGGAGGAGGGGATAGGTGGGAGGAAGAACAGGTTAGGGAGGCGGGGACGAGCTGGACTGGTTTTGGGATGCGGTAGGGTGGTGGGGGAGATTTTGAAGCTTGTGAAATCCACATTGATACCATTGGGCTGCAGGGTTCCCAAGTGGAATATGAGTTGCTGTTCCTGCAACCTTCGGGTGGCATCGTTGTGGCACTGCAGGAGGCCCAGGATGGACATGTCGTCTGAGGAATGGGAGGGGGAGTTGAAATGGTTCGCGACTGGGAGGTGCAGTTGTTTATTGCGAACCTACTGCACCTCCCAACAACTGCACCTCCCAGTCCCTAACTCCCCACCTACACTCACCTTTACTGGCTCCATCCCCGCCTCTTCGACCTGTTTGTATCCTCTCCTCTATCCATCTTCTATCCGCCTCCCACTCTCTCCCTATTTATTTCAGAACCCCCTTCCCCTCCCCCTTTTCTGATGAAGGGTCTAGGCCCGAAACGTCAGCCTTTCTGCTCCTATGATGCTGCTTGGCCTGCTGTGTTCATCCAGCTCTGCACCTTGTTGTCTCGGATTCTCCAGCATCTGCAGTTCCTACTATCCCTCACAAAGCCATGCTGACTTTCTTTAATCAAACTATGCTTTTCCAAATAATCATAAATACTGTCTCTCAGAATCTTCTCCAATAATTTGCCCACCACAGAAGTAAGATTGATTGGTCTGTAATTCCCAGGGTTATCCTTATTCCCTTTCTTGAACAAGGGAATAACATTTGCCACCCTCCAATCATCTGGTACTACTCCAATGGACAGTGAGGACGCAAAGATCATCGCCAAAGGCGCAGCAATCTCTTCCCTCATTTCCTGTAATAACCTTGAGTATATCCTGTCTGGCCCAGGGGACTAGTCTATCCTCATGTTTTTCAAAATTTCTAGCACATCCTCCCTCCTAACATAACCTGTTTGAGCATATCTGCCTGTTTCATGCTGTCCTCACAAACGACAAAGTCTCTCTCACTGGTGAATCCTGAAGCAAAGTATTCATTAAGGACCTCCCCTACCTCCTCCAACTACAGGCACAAGTTCCCTCCACTATCCCTGATCGGCCCTACCCTCACTCTGGCCATCCTCTTGTTCCTAACATTGGTATAGAACACCTTGGGTTTTCCTTAATCCTACCCACCAAGGCTTTTTCATGCCCCCTTCTAGCTTTCCTAAGTCCATTCTTCAGTTCCTTTCTGGCTACCTTGTAACCCTCTACAGCCCTGTCCAATCCTTGCTTCCTCAATCTTAAGTAAGCTTCCTTCTTCCTCTTGACTAGATGTTCCACATGTCTTGTCATCCAAGCTTCCTTCACCTTACCATCCCTTCCTTGCCTCAGTGGGACAAACCTATCCAGCACTCTCAGCGAGCGCTCCCTAAACAACCTCCACATTTCTGTCGTGCATTTCCCTGAGAACATCTGTTCCCAATTTATGCTCTGCAGTTCTTGCCTAATAGCATTGTAATTTCCCCTCCCCCAATTGAATGCTTTCGCGTTCTGTCTACTCCTATCCCTCTCCATGACAATAGTAAAGGTCAGGGAGTTGTGATCACTATCACCACAATGCTCTTCCACCGAGAGATCTGACACCTGGCCTGGTTTGTTGCCAAGCACCAAATCCAATATGGCCTCTCCTTTAGTCGGCCTACCTACATATTGAGTCAGAAATCCTTCCTGGACACAGCTGACAAAATCTGCTCCATCCAAACTATTTGCACTTAGGAGGTTCCAGTCGATATTTGGGAAATTGAAGACACCCATGACAACAACCCTATGACTTCTGCACCTTTCCAAAATATGCCTCCCAATCTGTTCCTCAGTGTCTCTGTTGCTATTGGGGGGTCTGTAGAAAACTCCCAATAAAGTGACTGCTCCTTTCCTGTTTCTGACCTCCACCATACTGACTCAGTCGTCAAACCCTCCTTGACAACCTCCCTTTCTGCAGCTGTGTACTATCCCTGATTAACAATGCCACTCCCCCACCTCTTTTATCTCCCTCCCTATTTCTTTTGAAACATCTAAACCCCAGAACATCCAACAACCATTCCTGCCCCCTGTGATATCCAAGTCTCCATAATGGCCACAACATTGTAGCTCAAAGTACTGATCCATGTTCTATGTTCATCACCCTTATTCCTGACACTTCTTGCATTAAAATAGATACACTTGAATCTATCACACTGACTGAAACTTTTGCCTTATCAACTGTTTGTCCTTCCTCACAGACTCCCTGCATGTTGTATCTGCCTGTACACCAGCTACCTCATCCTCTGATCCGTAGCTCCGGTTCCCATCCCCCTGCCAAACTAGTTTAAACCCTCCCGAAGAATTCTAGCAAACCTCCCGCCCAGGAGATTGGTGCCCCTCCAGTTCAGGTGCAACCCATCCTTATTGTACAGGTCCCACCTTCCCCAGAAGATATCCCAGTGATCTACATATCTACATAGTAAGGTCACCATTGTCTTCCTCCTACACCAGCTCCATAGCCACTGTTCAGCTGCACTCACTCCTAGCCTCACTAGCCCATGGCACCGGTAGTAATCCTAAGATTACTACTTTGCCTGTCCTGCCTTTGACCTTCCAACCTAACTCCCTATATTCACTTTTCGGGTTCTCATCCCTTTTCCTAGTTATGACGTTGGTACCAATGCGTACCATGACTTCTGGCTGCTCACCCTCCCCCTTAAGAATCTTGTAGACTCGATCCAAGTCAACCTTGATTCTGGCACCCGTGAGGCAACATGCCATCTGGGAATCTCATTTGCGACCATAGAATCTCCTATTTGTTCCCCTAACCATTGAATCTCCTATCACTATTGTTCTCCTATTCTCCCCCATTCCATTCTGAGCCACAGAGCCAGGCTCTGTGCCAGAGAACTGGCGGCTATGTTTTTCCTCTGGCCTCCCCCAACAGCATCCAAAGTGGTATACTTATTATTGAGGGAATTGGCCACAGAGGATCCCAGTACTGTCTGCTATTCCCTTTCCCTCTCCTGACAGTCACCCAGCTACCTTTATCCTGTAATTTAGGTGTGACTACCTCTCTATAACTCCTCTCTATCAACCCCTCTTCTTCCCGAATGATCCGGAGTTCATCCGGCTCCAGCTCCAGTTCCCTAATGCGGTCTGTGAGTTGTTGGAGTTGGGTGCACTTCTCGCAGGTGAAGTCAGCAGGGTCACTAGTGGTGATCCTTACCTCCCACATCCTATAAGAGGAGCATGCAATTGCCTTAGCTTCCATCCCCTCTGCTCTAAATTTCCAAAAGAGATGAAGAGAAAGGAAAAAAAAGAAAAAATCCTCACCTTACTGACCCTCCACACCGCGTCTTTTTTTTGGTTAGAGGAGGATGGGTGGGAGTCAGTACACATGTAGTGTTTTGGGTTTAGCCGCTGCCCGCATATATTAGGTCAAGGTCAAAACAGAATCCAAGATGCACTGATGAAACCTCACAAGAGAAAATTTCTCCTGTTACATGCATATCTATAACATCAAAAGAAATAATATCTGATGTTAAACAAGGTTTCAATGCACTTGTCAGAATATGGATTCTCATACTGGATTCCCCACATGGTAGGTAGAATTACATGCAGGTTTGGAGGCCGGAAACATTTAATTCAGCAGGAGGGTGATGGTGAGCACCCCACTGCCTTTCAGTTTTTACCTCATTTATGAGCCATCCTGTGCCCCCATCAATTCAAACGCATAAGTGGGCAATTGTTTGCAGGCTGTCATGGGGATGACCTGTTCAAAGATACTCAGTGCCTGATCAAGGAACCCCACCCTGTGACACTGTCCCAAAAGTGCCTTGTGGACTCCTAATTCAAAATGCGAGGCCTCCATCCCTTGCTTTAAATACTGTCCATGGATCTTGGCTTTCATGTGTGTTGATGTGTTCAGTGATAATGAGCTACTTCCCCACACAGTGCTCCAGTCAGTTGAACCTCCACTCTGTTGGGCCTCTAGTCTGCCTCCCTGGGCCTCTGACATAAATTAGTAACTAGTTGTCAGCAGCATTAGTGAAGTCTGTGTAAAGGACATGTCTAGCACATCTATTTCACCCATCAGGCTGTGAGTCTGCTGGGATTATATGAAGTAGGGAAAAAGGAAAAATAAGTCTTGTTTTCAAAGATGTTACTTTTGAATTACTGTTGAGTAATAACTGACTTACTTTTTAGGAGAAAATGAACACACAGGATCAACCTAGCAGGCATTTGACTAGGCCACCTCCAGATTATAAAGAACAAAGGCGAAATCTAGTTGGAATTCCACAGCCAAGTCAGTTTCCAGGTAATGAAAAATGTAATGTTGCACCTTGAACTTTGTTTTCTATACATTGCAATAATAATGTTACAAAATATAAATGTATTTTGCGTTAATTGTATTTTTTTCTGAATAACATGGATTCTAATAGATGTTTAAGATTATAAATTGTTCAGTACGGGAAGATTTACAATTGTCATAATCTTCTCAGTTTGGTTAGGTTAAAAAAGTAAGGTCACCATTGTCTTAGCATACCATAGGGCTGCTCTCTCATTAGAGACATGATTGTTGATTTTTAACCTAAGAGTCACCACACCTCAGGCAAGGTGAGGGGTTGCGAAGGAGAGTCCATCATGGTAATTTCAACTAGTGTGGGAATTTAACCCACACTGTTGGCATCACTCTGCATTGCAAACCATCCATTATGCCAAACTTAGCAAACCAACCCCAGAATGGTAACTGCAAGAGGAAGGCTATGAACAAGGAGAACAATATATAGCAATCATCAACTTCACCAAGACATACAAGAGGAGATCCGAGAAAAATGTTTTTCGCCCAGAGGGTGACAGAAATATGAAACATGGAGACAGGTACTCTTGCAACATTTAAGAAGGATGAGCACTTAAAACACCATGGCATAGTAGGCTATGGACCACATGTCTATACTGAGCCAAAGGGTTTGTTTTTATGCTGTCAGACTGTACGACTCTAACAGATCTTCTATTGAGGCTGTTGGAGAAAGCTTGCTGCCTAACACAAGGGAATGCCACATCTTCATCAGCGAGTTGCTCAATACTGAAGATGCTGCACTAACATTCCACGCCACAGAACACCTTCAGCGACAAATGGACAAATTCTTTCGTGTGTGGCAGTCTTAAGCAGAAGCTAGAGAGTGTTAATTGGGAGGAGCTGTTATCGGGCAAGTCCACATTTGACATGTGGGAGTTGTTTTAAAGACCTTCTGATCAGAGTTCAGGACCGGCATGCTCTTGTAAGGAGGAGAGATAAAGATGGCAAGGTAAGAGCCCCTTTAATAACAAGGGAGGTTGTGTATTTAGTCAAAAGGAAAAGACAAGCATGTGTAAGGTTTCGGAAGCTAAAATCAGACAGGGCCCATGAGGAATATAAAGAAAGCAGGAAAGAACTCAAGAGATAACAAGGTGTAGAGCTGGATGAACACAGCAGGCCAAGCAGCATCAGAGGAGCAGGAAAGCTGACGTTTCGGGCCTAGACCCTTCTTCAGAAATGGGAGAGGGGAAGGGATTCTGAAATAAACAGGCAGAGAGGAGGAGGCAGATAGAAGATGGATAAAGGAGAAGATAGGTGGAGAGGAGACAGACAGGTCAAAGAGGCGGGGGTGGAGCCAGTAAAGGTGAGTGTAGGTGGGGAGTTAGGGAGTGGATAGGTCAGTCCAGGGAGGACGAACAGGTCAAGGGGGCGGGATGAGGCTAGTAGGTAGGAGAGGGGAGTGAGGCTTGAGGTGGGAGGAGGGGATAGGTGGGAGGAAGGACAGGTTAGGGAGGCAGAGACAAGCCGGGATGGTTTTGGGATGCGGTAGAGGGAGGGGAGATTTTGAAGCTTATCTGCAGTTCCTACTATCCCAGGAAAGAACTCAAGCAGCGAATTAGGAGAACAAGAAGGGGCCATGAAATGACCTTGGCAAGCAGGGTTAAAGAGAATCCCAAGGCATTCTATACATACATTAAAAAACAGGAGGATAACTAGGGAGAAGATAGGACCACACAAGGATAAAGGAGGGAATTGTTCTTGGAGGCAGAGGAAGTGGGCGAGATCATAAATGAGTACTTTGCATCGATATTCACCCAGGAGAAGAATATGGAGGATAATGAGATTAGTGTGGGCATTTTGAGATCAAGAAAGAACTGATGTTGGGTATTTTGAAGAACTTTAAGTTGGATAAGTCCTCAAGGCTCAGTGGTATTTATGCCAGGTTATTGAGAGAGGCAAGAACGGAGATTGCTGGGGCCTTGACCGAAATCTTTGTATCCTTGCTAGCCACTGGAGAGGTCTCGGAGGATTGTCAAGTAGCTAGTGTTGTTCCTCTGTTCAAGAAGGGAAATAGGGATAATCCAGGAAACTATAGACAGGTGAGTCTCACATCGGTGGTTGAAAAGCTATTGGAGAGAATATTTAGGGATAGGATTTCCATGCATTTGAAAAAGCACGGTCTAATTAGGGACAGTCAGCATGGCTTTATGCAGGGCAGGACATGTCTTACTAATCTGATTGATTTTTTTGAGGAGGTTAAAAAGGTGATCAATGAGGGTGAGGCAGTGGATGTTGTCTACATAGATTTTAGTAACACTTTCATCAAGGTCCCTGATGGTAGGATCATCCAGAAACTTAAAATGTATGGGATCCATGGTGACTTGGCCAGCTGGATTCAGAATTGACTTACCCAGAGAAGGCAGAAGGTTGTGGTGGAAGATTGTTTTTCTGGCTAGAGGTCCATAACTAGTGGTATTCCGCAGGGATCCATACTGAAATCTCTGCTGTTTGTAATAAAAATAAATGACTTGGATGAAAGTGTAGATGGGTGGGTTAGTAAATTTGCAGATGATACAAAGATCAGTGGAGATATGGATAATGTAGAAGGTTGCCAAAGGAAACAGTGGGATATAGATCAGTTGCACACAGAGGGGCACCCAGAACGGCACTGAGGACGCCAATTTCGAGCAGTTGATGGTGAATATGCCGGAACGAGTGGGACAAGCTGATGTTGACCTTGTGGGAGGTGCAGAAAATGTTGTCCGTCAATGGGAACATGGCATTTAATCTGGGTAAGTGTGAGATACTGCACTTTGGGAGATTAAATTTTAAGGGAAAATATACAGTTAGTGCAGCACCATTAACAGCATTGATTTACAGAGGGATCTTGGGGTTCAAATCCATAGCTCCCTGAAAGTGGCCACGCAAGTAGATAGGGTGGCAAAGAAGGCATGCTTGACTTCATTGATCATGGAATGAAGTGCAATAGTCAGGATGTCATGTTGCAGTTTTATAAGACTTTGGTTAGGCCACACTTAGAGTATTGTATTCAATTCTGGTCGTCACATTACTGGAGGCTTTGGAGAAGGTGCAGAAGAAGTTTACCAGGATGCTGCACGGATTGGAGGGTATGAGCTATAAGGAGAAGCTAGAAAAACTCTTGAGGGTTTCTTTGGAGTGGCGGTGGCTGAGGGGTCAATCATAGAATCCCTACAGTGTGGAAACAGGCCCTTCGGCCCAACAAGTCCACACCAACCCTCAGAGCATCCCACCCAGACCCAAACCCCCTAAAACCCACCTAATATACACATCCCTGAATAATATGGGCAATTTAGCATGGCCAATCCACCTAGCCTTCACATCTTTGGACTGTGGGAGGAAATCGGAGCACCCGGAGGAAACCCACGCAGACACGGGGAGAGTGTGCAAACTCCACACAGACAGTTGCCTGAGGGTGGAATCGAACACGGGTTCCTGGCGCTGTGAGGCAGCAGTGCAAAACACGGAGCCACCGTGCCGCCCCATTTGATCATTTGAAAGAAGTCTATAAAATTATAAGATGTATTGATATGATTGCCAGTCAGAATTTTTTTCCTAGTGTTGAAATGTCTAATTCTAGGGACCATGCATTTAAGGTGAGAGGGGGAATCCTCAGCTCGCCAAGAAGAGGTCACAGAGATATAGTGGTCAGTGAATTGGCACCTCCCCAGCCACTATCTTCATCTACAGCAAATGTGGCAGAAACTGCCTTGCCAGAGTTGAGCTTCTGAGTCCTACCAGCTGATGTTTAACACCCAGGATTGGATTGCCTGGTGTTCACCCATTCATTAGAAGGAAAATTGACTCAAAGTCACTTACCGCCTTGCAATATCCAGCTACAACTCTCCTTGGCCAATCTGATCAGTATGAGCAAAATATTATTCAGGTCAATAAGCTTGTCAATATGGCTATTGACCTTTAATTATTTGCTTAAATATAGCAGACAAGCAGCCAATTTAACAACATCTAACTAGAATATTCAAGGGCAATCTCAGGGTGTTGAGACAGTGCTGCACTCACCATCTGACTTACTTTCAGTAATACCTCTGCTGAAAACATGGCCAGCAAGGATACAGCCAGCGTAGCACAAACCGTCATCTTCTGAGCCGTAAGGCTGCTGAGTGTTATGGACCACACCAAACCCCCTCAAAATATATTAAGAAGATAGCCTATAACCTAACTTTTTCTTATTTTAAAGACATGTGCCAGGCGATCTGTTCCGGATGCTATTCAATTGGTCAAACAACCAGTCTTGAAGCAAAGCACACTTTATTTAAAATATAAATTTCATAGTTAAAGTACAAACAAAAGAAAGAAGATATTTGAATAACTTAGCTCTGTTGAAAATTTAACAGAAGAATTATTTAATGATTAAATAGTAGCTATTCCAATATAGTAACATCCCATAAACACAGCCTTATCAAAGACACATTCAGTAGAATAGATTGTCTCGCATGCAATTCACTAGTCCAGGAGGAAAAACATCAAGAGAAAACTCTGAGAGAGAGAGTAGCAGGAGAGTAGCATGTACTGCAGTTTCCAACCCAGCATCAAGACCACAGAAACTGCTCCTGAAAAACTGGAACTAAAACTCCTGGTTCTGTGGGAGTTTGACTCCATCTATTCAAGCAACTTCTGTTGTTCAAACTTTAAAAAAAAAACCAAGCTGTTTTTTTTATTGGCTTTGGAGCAGACTGCCTGGTGCCTCTGTCACAACTTCTTTTCATTAAAAAAAAACAAAATACACCTCTTAGAGCCATAGAATTGTCACACTTTCCCCCTTAAAAAAATCAAAGCACAAAGATGGCTTCATTTTTAAAAACCATCATGCTTAAATCTTATGCTATATTAGCTCACTACAATACGCATGCATTACACTGACTCTAAGCATGCAAACATTCCCTATTGCAGTCCTTTTCAGTCCGTTTCTTCCCGTCACGGAACACCTCCGTCATCATTCATCAAAGTCGGGACAATCA